ATACAATGAACATTGAGACATTTGACTATAATACTGAATCTTGGGTAGGAGAAGCAATTTCCAAAGGAATGAGAAGACATCAAAATGCCAAATGTTTTAATTGTGATAGACTAGAATATCTGAGAAGGGATTGTAGGCAATGAGTTCCTAGGAATAATATCTCCTCTGGGAATGGCAAGAATAGGAGGACTCAGCCTTCAGGTATATGTAGAAGATTTGGCAAAGGCCGACATTGGACCAATGAACACAGAACAACAAAAGACAGACAAGACAACCTGATACCATCGGGGAAAGACCTTGAAGGGCCTCTCACAGGCCCCCAAGTCAAAAGTGGTCCAGTCATTCCCAGTCACTGTGGAGGACATGTCTCACTAGGAAAAAAAAATCCAGAGCCTTCTGTAAAAGACCACACTGTTCTAGATGGTGGCATAAACATGGAGGATAAATAAAAATTCCAATAGGAAATAGGAAACATATATTCTGGCAGACTTCTATAAATTACCAAAGACCAAAGCTAAGAGTACGTATAAAATGCATTGTAATTGCTGATTTGATAGACACAGGTGCGAGAGTTTCATTACTCCAGAATCTTAGCTTCCAAATTGGCCTCTTCAAGAGGAAGATGTTCAACTACTAGGAATTGGAACCCTATCTCAAGTTAAACAAAGCACAAGATGGGTTGAATGCATACGGCCAGAAGAACAGAGAAGAAAGCTGAGGCCTTATGTGGCTAATATTGCAGTAAATTTATGGGGTCATGGCATGCTGCAGCAATGGAATACCCAGATTAACATTCCTGCAGTCCCAGAAACTCTATACACAAAGGTGTATTTGTAAATGTATAGTAAAGGTACTATACACTCAGGCTGTACAAGAACACAAAGTAACTGGCAAACTTATAGGGGTTCCAACAGACCTACCTTTAAAATACTTAACTGAGAAACCGATATAAGTTAAGCAATGGCCTCTAGTTGAAGAAAAGCTGTGGGCTTTAGAAATAGCTGGTACAAGAGCATATTGAAGAATCAACCAGCTCTAGGAATTTTCCTGCATTTGTTGTAAAACGGAAATCTGGTAAATAGGGAATGGTGACAGATCTAAGAGCTGTCCATAAGGCAAATCAACCTATGGGCCCTCTACAGTCTGGAATTCCTCTATCTTCTCTATTACAAAAAAGATGGCCTCTCATAGTTATTAATTTGAAAGATTGTTTCTTCACTATACCTTTACAAGAAAAAGGTAGAGAAAAACTTGCCTTCACAGTGCCTACTTATAATAATTCTCAACCTACTATGAGGTATCACTGGACTCCCACATGGAATGCTCAATGGCCCCACTCTGTGCCAATACTTTGGAAATAATAAGTAAGCAATTTACTAAGTCTATAATTTACCATTACATGGATGACATTTTGCTATCTGATTCAAACACAGATATTTTAGAATGTTTTAAGAAGTAAAGAAAGTTTTGCCAAAATGGGGATTACAAATTGCTACTGAAAAAATACAGAGGAGATTCTGTCAATTACCTAGGTTATAGAATAGGTTTACAGAAAATTAGAACACAAAAGGCACAAATTAGGAGAGACCAGTTGCGGACTCTTAATGACTTTCAAAGATTGTTAGGAGACATTTCCCGTATATGACTGGCTATTGGGATAACACCTGATCTAATAATTCATTTAAACAAAACCTTAGATGGTGATAAAGACTTGAATAGTCCCAGAGAATTAACAGCTGAAGCAGAAAAGGAATTGGCAATTGTCAAGGAGAAATTAGAGGAGGCACATGTGCATAGGATGAATCCAAATCTTAATTGTATTCTAGTCATATTGCCTTTCAGAATTTCTCCTACAGGAATTTTAATGCAGAGGGACAATATTATATTAGATTAGATCTTTTTACCACACAAACCAAGTTAAAAATAAAAAACTTATGTAGAAAAGTCTCTGAATTAATTATTAAAGGTAAATTGAGACTTTGTCAATTAGCAGGTATAGACCCAGCAGAGATTATAGTGTCTTTTACTACTGATGAAATAAAAAAGTTATAGGAAGACAATGAACCACGGAAAAGACCTTGTGCCAATTTTTTGGAAGAAATAGCAATTATCCCGAAAGCAATAGAGTTAACTTTATAAAGAGAACTTTTTTGTGTGAGTCTACCTCTAAATAAATAACCCTCTATTATTCTCAATTCTGAGCTAGTGTGGGATTTCTTTTACGCGTCCATCCTCAGGCACCTACTGAGTAGAGATTAAGGGTACTTTTAAACATGCCTACCATGGCAACCTTTCACAACCCAAATCCATGTAGCCCAAAGTATCAGTTGTATTTGTTTTGAGAAATCTAAAGGATCAAATTAAGTTCACACTGAGAAACAATCCCAAATCCTAACTTTTTCTTCTCCCTAATGGGCTGCTGAAATACTGGCTGCCAGGCCCTTCTTGCCAGAGACTGGTAGAAGCTTCTCTGCAGGAAGTTAGTGGTTGAGGAAAAAGACATAATCAATCCTACCTAAGAGACTAGGAAGAAAATGAATTTTAAGAGGGGAGAAATGCATATATTACCTCCGTTCAAACTAACCAAGATTAAATCAACTGTGGTAAATGAGAGCTGAAATAATGATAAACACAGTAGTTTTGTTGTTTTTAAAAGCAAACTGTTATCCCTTAAAAGAAAGTAAGAAATATACAGTTTTGCAGCAAAGTTCAAGTGTATAGTCATTATAATAAGAGCACTGAGTGTATTGGGAGGGCTGGGGGTTTAGCTCGGTGGTAAGCGTGTGTAAGTGCTTGCCTAGCACATGTAAGGACCTAGGTTTGCTCTCGAAGACCACAGATAATAAAGGAAATAAACAATAACTAAATGTGAGAAACGGGAAAAGAAGGGAGAACTAGAAAGGATGGAACCGGAGTAGAGAAGTAAATGGTGCTGTCCAAAGACAAGCTATAGTCTCACACAGAAGGGGAGAGAGAGAGAGAGAGAGAGAGAGAGAGAGAGAGAGAGAGAGAGAGAGAGAGAGAGAGAGAGAGAGTGATCTGAGTGTGGATTTAATGATACGGAGATGAATGTTAGAAGCACCAGCTCAAGGATTAGAAAGTGTTTATTTCTTGGTGCATAATATGGCATGTGTGTGGCAGAAGATGTTTCGTAAGTCAGACAGGACTATTTAATTCCATGTATGAAAAGCTAATTATAATTTTTAAAACTGTGTTTGATTTTAAGACTATTTGATACATGAATTTGGATCTAATGAGCTCATCTTAGTTCAATTTGAATCAGAATGCAGTATATCATATCAAGAATAAAGAATATTGAAGCAAGTTATTAAACCATTTTTTTAAAATTACTCTGGACAAGATAAAAGAGGCCAGTTTAGACTAGACAATTCCTTGATTTACCTACCAAACCCCATGTGAAAGATATTATATTAAATACCACCAAATGTTATCTTTACCCATGGGTATCACCAGATACCATTTCATGTGTTCCCTGAGAGATGGGTCACTTCACTTTATATTCTCTCTTACATTGTTTGAACTTTACAGATAGAAAGACATATGAACAGGACAAGGAGTCAAAATCCACAGTCACACAGAATATCCTTAGTAATTAGTTCAGATCTGTTCTCACAAATTTTGATCTAACTCAAAATAATAGGACAGAAAAGAATAACATATAAGACAAAGAACATAAAAACACATCTCTAATAAAATACTGCCTTCTTAAATCTCATCAGGTAAATCTGACAGGCATGAAATAAAATGCTGAGAAGCTGGTACTAAGTAGAATTCATAGGCCATAAAGTGACATTGGGTTTCCTCATAAAGTAGAAATTTCAATTGTTTTATATATATTACAGAATGGAGGCAAGAACCATTTTAGATAAATGAGGGTTTATTCCTTAGGTTCATGTACTTGCTTCCTTTCTTTGCAATAGCTCATTAGCTCATTTGTCTCTAAACCATGATGGTTAATGTTTCTTTTGCACTCCACAGTACCTAAAACAAAGCTAATCATTTGGGTAAATACCAAGAGTTACTGATTAAATTAATCTGAAGAATTAAATCATTTGGGCACAGGAGAGTCTGACAATGTCAGAGACTAAATTTCAAGTTTCTCTGTAATTCTTTCAATGATATTTGACACTACTCCACAGTTGTGCTAACAATGCATACATTCTTCTACTTTGTCACAGAGTATATAAACACAAGCTCATTGGAAAGGCTGGCTTTGTTCTGCTCCATTCATTTTCTTTCTTGCTGCTATCATACAAAAAAAATTGCTATCTTCTAGATGAAAGAAATCACTTTCTTTTGTTAACTTTATTATCACAAGGCCATCTCCTACGCTTACCCAAAAACTCAGGAAAACGTCATCTTACATCCCTCCCATCAATAACTTCTGAGTCTCGGAATGACCCTCTGAGGAAGAGAAGAAGGCAGACCAGGTAATGGGAATTCAATTTTCTTACAAAAAACTGATGTCTAGATAAACTGTCTGGTTCCACGGGTACCAAATGACAAAGACACAAGTTCTTGAAGTCCAGCTTTTCTTTCTATTACACCACACTAACTAACCCCTTGATAACAAAATGGAGCAAACTCCCAACAGTAGAATCTTCGAAGATTACAAGTATGATTTACATGGCCATAAGGTCTCACTTCAATCATGTCAAAAACAATTATCAGCTTATTAAGTATTCATGGCTTTGCAAATCATAATTCATTTTTTAATCACATGAAATAACTGGCATTAATTCAAAGGTTCTAACAAGTCAGAAGACAGAAAGACGACTCTAAACCTCTTCTAACTTACCTTCATGACACTACCCTGACTGGTGATGGAGTTCTTCTGTGGCCTTATTAGGCTGAGAACTTTTGATAAACTTTTATGTTAAAGAAGAAAGTCAGTTTAAAAACAACAAGAACAAAAAACCACTCATTTCTCCATATTTTAAAGTCAAAAATAACAGCGGAAGTAAATTCCATCTATTTACCTCAGTAACTGGCTGTCCCTGATGTGTTGTCAAATCCAGTTCTTGAGGACGCACCACTTTGTCAGTATCCAAAGAATCCATGCTAGAAGCTGCAGAAGTGATGCTCGAACGGGAGGAGTTACTAACAGAGTGCACTTCAACATCATTCACAGTGCCAGCTGACGCAGTCCTTCTGTGCTGATTCGTCATTGAAGGTTTAGAATCTTCTACTACAGATTGCTGAGCAGCCTCATCCATGCTCAAGGAAGCCTGTTCTAATTGTGCAGTGATGTCGTCCAGGGAGTAGTTAGCATGGGAAGGTTTAGTAGTTGTTCTATTAGAAGAAGATGATACTCCTACTCCTCTCAGAGAGCCATGTTTCGACGTATGCCGGCTAGGTAGCTTCTGAGTGACTTTTGGTTCTGTGACTTGACGCTTACTATTTCCTGAGCCAATACTGCTGAGCTCCTGTTCTATGGAGCAGAGATCAGCCATCAGGGCATCCAGATCCACAGTCTCTCCCTGATTCAGAGCTTCTACAAAGAAGATATAAGTTTCCAGAACATAATCAAAATCTATACATCCTACGATAAATTAGTCATAGGCAGTAGAAAAAAGCAAAAGAACACATTTCATTGGATCTAAAACCAATAAAATAAAGCACTTAGTTGGTTTTGTTTTAAATTTTAAGAGAATTTTTAAAGCAAATAGTCCGTCTTTTAAGATCTCTATTAATGAAAATAAGGTTGTAAGTTCGAAGACACAATACTGAAAACACCTTGTGCTATGCCATGGTTTTAACCAAATCTCCCAGGTAACTTTGTACTGTTATGCTGGCTAATTTTATGTCAACTTGACACAATCTGAAAGGAGGGAACCTCAGTTGAGAAAACACCTCTGTAAGAGCTGGCTTTAGGGCATTTTCTTAATTAGTGATTGATGGAAGACGGTTCAATCCATTGTGGGTGGTGCCACTCGTGGGTTCGTAGTCCTGGATTCTGTACGAAAGCAGGCTGAGCAAGCCATGGGGAGCATGGCTGCTTTATCAGCTCTTCCCTCCAGGTTCCCGCCTTGTTTGAGTTCCTGTCCTGACTTCCTTCACTAATAGACAACGATATAGAAGTGTAAGCCAAATAACCCTTGGCTTCCCAACTTGCTTTTGGTCATGGTGTTTCATTGCAGTAATAGAAACCCTAACAAAACAGCTATTAATATCGTCAGTGTCCAGGTAGATAAAATACTGCCAAGAGAGAGAAGAGCATAAACAGAAAAAAAGTTAAAAAACTTAGAACATTTATTCCAAACACTAAGAAGTGGCTAGGTACACTAAAGAAAGGTCACACCAGCTGATTTAAAATTACTAAAAACAATTTTCTTTGGACTTTAATCCAGTCAGAAAACAATGTAATCAGATTGATGTGGGCTTTCTCATTAGCATACACAATATCAAGTATTAAATATAAGACAAGAAAACTATTTGTTATGTTCTAGTTGCTTTTTTCTTCTGGAACTCTTCCAGTTAATTTGAATTAATATGCACAAATCAACAACAGAACCCAGGATGGAAAGAAAGATGGCTCAGTGGCTAAGAACATGTGCTCTTTTTCTGGATGACCTGAGTTTAATTCCTAGTACCCACACTAGATGGTTCACAACTACAACTACCTATAACTCTAGATCTACAAGGATCTGACACTTCTGGCTTCTGCAAGGACCAGCACTCATGTGCATAGCTCCCCCACACAAAACACACTAATTTTAAAAAGGAGAAACAAAACCCAGCCAAGTTATGTATATAATTTTTATACTGTTGTATATTTAGAATTGCATTTCTATCATTTCTGTATTACAGAACTCAGTATATTATTTTAAATTTTCCTTAATCAAATCTTACCATTCAAGTTGTATATGGAGAAGCGGTAAGAAAAGTTGGCCATGTTTGTTTCCTGGTGAAGAGGAGATCTTTTCACTGGTTCTTTAGGCTTGTCGGAATCCAAACTCTTTTAAAAAAAAAACCAAAGTTTAACAAGTAACATTAATATGAAATTCCATTACACAAAAAGATTAGAGAAGTGCCATACTGTTCATCATCAAAGGAATCCAGGAAAAGAATTCAAGCAGGGTAGGAGCTGATGCAGAGGCCATGGAGGAGTGCTGCTTACTGACTTGTTCCCCATGTTTTGTTCAGCCTGCTTTCTGTCTTTCTTTCCTTTTTTTTTTTTTGGTTTGTTTTTTTTGTTTTTGTTTTTTGTTTTGTTTTTCCAGACAGAGTTTCTCCGTAGCGTTGGAACTAGCTCTTGTAGACCAGGCTGGCCTCGAAATCACAGAGATCCATCTGCCTCTGCCTCCCAAGTGTTGGGATTAAATGCATGCACCACCACTGCCTGGCCAGCCTACTTTCTTATAGAACCCAGGACCACCAGGCTAGGAATAGCACCACAATGGGTTGGGCTCTCCCCCAACAATCACTAAGAAAATCACTAAGCAAGCCTACAGGCTTGCTTGCTGCCTCATCTTATGGAAGCATTTTCTTAATTGAGTTTCCCTCCTCTCAGAACATTTAGCATGTGTCAAGTTGACATAAAACTATCCAGCACACATATTAACAAAGCCAAAAGTTTTTTCTAAATACTTACTTACTTTTAAGATACCTGAGACTCAGAACTATCACAGTTCAGAGTAAACACCTTTTCAAATACATTGTTTAGTCAATGACATCATTCTATATAAATTCATTGTGAAATAATCTAAGTATATGAATACGGACATGGCAAAGAACCACGAAGGAAGTTTTGTGATCTCTTTCATTAAATGGTTCTATTTTTGATCTATCATAGGCTCATCCATACCTAAATGTAAAATACAATCTTGAACTTCTTTCATCCACTCAGCCACTCACTCCCTTTTGTGGTGTTGGGGACTGAACCTAAGGCCTTGTGCATAGCAGACACTCAGGTCTATCACTAGATTATACTTCTAGCCCTTACCCTCTTCTTACCATAATACTCTTCACCTGTAGCCTTTCTCCAATAAGGAAAAGATATCTAAACAGAAAATTACAACAATAACAAAGAAAAAAAGAGAAGAGGAGGAAAAGGAATTCAACTACTTAAAGTTACAATAGAAAGAAAAGTTAGAATAGTCTTTTACAACTAGTTTCTATATAATGCCCTATCAAATAAGCTTCAAGTTTTAAAAAAGAACTTCAGTGTTGGGTGTGGTGGTGGCGCATGCCTTTAGTCTCAACATAATCTCTGCATAATCTACATAGCAAGTCCCAGGACACCTAGGGCTACACAGGGAAACCTTGTTGCAAAAACAAAAACAACAAAAAAGAACTTCATGTATTCTATTTATAGAATCATAAAGTTACATTAGAATGCTATTTTTATTATTTATATAGTTCAAGATTTTGATAATTCATATAAATAGTGTTCATCTTGTCTTTATTGTTGTTTTTGGTTTAGACAGTCTCTTCTGTACACCAGTCCTGCCTAAAACTAATTATGTAGCAGAAGATGACCTTGAATGAAGATGCCCTCTAGAATGCTGTGATTACAGCTACATGCTACTATACCTGAATCATGTGGTAATAGGAATGGGTCCTGGTGTCTGAATTGTTAGGGAAGCAAGCTATGAAAAACCCTACACTCCCAGACTCCATTCTGTTTTACTTTTATTTTATGTATATGAGTATTTTGACTGAATGTATGTAAATGTATCATGCGTGTACCTGTGGAGACTAGAGAGGCAGTTGTATCACCTAGAACTGGAATTACAGTTATAAGCTGCTATTTGGGTGCTGAGAAATAAACCTGTGTCCTCTGCAAGAACAGCCAGTCTTCTTGGTCACTAAACCATTTCTCTAGTTCTTCATTCTGTTTTTGAAACTATCAAATCAATGTGATCTACAACCTACTCAGTGTTTTACTTCAAAAATTTAAAAAACAGCTAAGAAATTCTCCTATAACCCCCAAATTTAATTCTTCAGAAGCAATTTTAATTACTCCTTTCAATAGAGTTGAAGGGAGAAATATTTCCTATAAAATAACATGCCTGTAACTGAAGACCTATGAAAAGTCAACCTCTTTCCAGTTCAAATGAATGAACATGTATTTTAATTACCTGTCCATAGGGAAACACTCCGTAGGTTAAGAAATTGGTAATAAAACATGGTAAATTTTAACCCTCAGGGAGGTAGCTAAGAATTTACAAAAACCTACAGATCCTTTCCCAGAAAAAAAGGACAACATACAATTTTTTAACCACTATTTTAGAAGAATCATCAACTACTTAAATCTTAAGTTTGATTAACCAGTAACAATGAATATATGCAGATAATCCTGTAGTGAACTAAGTAATAAAATAAATCTAAGTATATACATGACCATGGCAACTCTTATAAGAAAAACATTTAATTGGGGTGGCTTTGCTTACAGTTTTAGAGGTTCAATCCTTTATCATTATGGCAGGGAGCATGGCAGAGTACCGGAGAAGAAGCTAAGAGTTCTATACCTTATGGGCAACAAGAAGTCGACTAACACACTTGGTGGTATCCTGAACATAGGAATCTGTTGACAGAAGATTCCTATGACAATGGTGCCACAGCCACTCAGTCCCAAAGAATCACACAGAGACTTATATTAATTATAAACTGCTTGGCCTATTAGTTTAGGCTTATTATTAACTAGCTCTTACAGCTTAACTTATAATTTTTGTCTATGTTTAGCCACGTGACTTGGTACCTTTGCTCAGCAAAGCACTGAGGTATTCCCATATTGCTTCCTCTACGTCTGGCTGGTGACTGTGTCTCTGCCTTTCCTCTTCCCAGAATTCTCTTAGTCTGGTCGCCCTGCCTATACTTCCTACTATACTGCCCAATCAGCATTTTATTAAACTAATACAAATGACAAATCTTTACAGTGTATAAGAGGACTATCATACAGCAGGAATCCTCAAAGCTCACCCCCACAGTAACATACTTCCTCCAAGGCCAGACCCACTTCAAGAAAGCCATATCCCCTAATATTGCCACTCCCTATGAGATTATGGAAGCCTATTACATTCATACTACACATCCCACTCCCTGGTCACCAAAAGCTTGTAACAATATCATAATACAAAATACATTTAGTCTAAACTTCAAAAGTCCCCACAGTTTATCACAGCCTCAACAATGTTTTAGAGTCCAAAGTCTCTTCTAAGATTCATGCATCTTTTAATTATAATCTCCTATAAAAAATCAAAATCAAAAAGCAGATTACATAATTCCATCCTATAATGGCACAGGAATTTAGAGTCTGCCCAGCTGGTTTGGGGTCTGGTTTTGGTCCCGTGTTTCCTCACTATGCCCCCTTCCCTGCATTTTGGAATGATAATGTACATACGTAGAGCATAGTGGGGAAAACCAGCTGGGCAAACTCTAAATTCTGCTTTTCCATGTCTGATGTCAAAGTACTCTTCAAATCTCCAACTTCTTTCAGCTTTGTTGACAGCAACGCACTTCATTCTCTTGGGCTGGTTCTAACTAAGTAACTAACACTCCCTGTTAATAGCTCTCCTCAGCAGGTATCCCACTGTTCTGGCACCTCTAACATCTTGGGGTCTCCAAGGCAATCCAGGTTTCAACTTCACAGCTTCACACAATGGTCTCTCTAGTAGGCCTCATTCAGGGATACCTGACACATTCCTGACCTCAGAGGCTTTCTTTAGGTATGGAGGCATACCCCTTTTTTCTATCCTTAATTCTAAAGCTAGAACCATGTGGCTGAAACTGCCAAGTTCTGCTGCTTGCTGAGGCTGGAACATGCCCTCCTTGTTCAATTACATCTTCACCAGCTTTCTTTCCTTCACTGCCTAAGTCTGGCTGTCCTGAAACTTATTCTCGAGACTAGGCTGTCCTCAAACTCAAAGACTACCTGCCCCGTGTCCTGTTTCCTCCAGCAAGGCTTGACCACTCATTCAAACAATAACCTCTCCAAAAGAGCTACAGACTAGGGTCTAAGTATTTTAAAGCCAAGCAGTTGGGCACAACTGTGAGGGGTTTCCTTGATTGAATTATGAGGTGGTAAGACATACCCTAAATCTGGGCCACACCTTCTGGTGGCAGCCCACTTAAAAGGATTTGGAATAAAAATACTTTTGCTTTTTGCCTGCTTGCCCATCCTCTCTGTAGTATCTACCTTTCAAACTGATCCACAGCTAAGAAGGAAGTTAGAACTTTAAGCCTTCATTTTATTTTTCCATTAGTTATGGAATTTTATACTTATGTATTCCCAAAGAAATTATTTAAACATAAGTAAGTCTTAACAGTCTCATTATTATAAAATTAAATTTGTTTTAATAAATATGACCATCTTTATTATTACATACAGTACATTAACCAGGGAAGTAAAAACTCCATTTTTTTTTATTATTCTAAAAAGTGTCCTGGCATAGGGGATAATGGTTTAGCAAGTAAAATGCGTGCCATGAAAACCTGGGCCCTAAATTCAATCCCAGGGATCCACATAAAGGTAGGAGAGACTCCACAAAGTTGTACCCTAATGTCCACACGCAAACTGTGGCATGCATGCACTCGCCCCTCCCCCTCACACATACACACATACAATATAACAAAAATTTAAAAACTAAGACCTATGATCCAAAACAAATGAACAAATGGACACCATGACGTCCCAGGCCTGACCCATGCCTGACCCATGCCTGTAATCTCAACATTTGGGCAGTAGATATAACAAGATTGGCAGCTCAAGGTCATCCCTGAAATCAACCTGAGCTACACGAGATGCTATCTCAAAAACTAACCAACCAACCACTCACCACCACACTCAATCCACAATCCAACAAAACAAAGCAAAAACCAAACTAAAACAGAAACTTTAGAACAATTTTAAATGTAGCCAGGAATGAACTTTTGTCAGTATTTTGAAACTATGAGCAAGAAAATACGAACAATATATGTCATAAGGTGTATTTAAATTTGTTACAGAACAAAATATGTCAAAATTAAAATTTTTAAACTTTAGACTTTAAAATTGTTTTAGCTTACAATTCAAATTTATGAAAGAGGTATTAAACTCTCTCACATTAACAGAAACCCTGTTAAAATATTGTTTTTTTTTTAAACCTTAGAATATTCACAGAAAAGGGGCTAGGGAGATGGGTCAGTTGGTTAAGCACTTGCAAGCATTTGACTCTCAAACCCAAATCTAAATGGTGGGCACTTGTAATCCTAGCCCTGGGTAGGCAGATTTAGGAAGATTGCCCAGTTCTAACCTAATTGGTAAGCATTATGCCAAGGAAAGACCTACCTTATCTGGCGACTTCCTCTTAGGGAACCCATACCCATACTGCCCCCCTACCTTCTTCTGAGCACCTTTCCTCCCATCCTGTCCTGGTGCTTACACCTATATTAAACTTATCTTTAATAAAAATCTTTAACTCTGCTTCACTAAAAGGGGGATACTCAGAGAGAAAGACGAGGAGAGAGAATAGGACCCTATACTTCAAAGAAGTAGTGGCCTTCCAAGGAAGAAGCCCTGAGGACATCCTCTGGTCTCTACCTTGCATGTACACGTTCACACAGATAAACACACATCACACATACATTCTCACATAAGCATATACAAATAATAACCACAGATTATAGTATCTTGCACTGTAAAGTTTCTATTCTTCTACCTGTTAATGTTTGTTTTTCTGTAACCAGCATTTTAAAATTTAGCTTGCACTCATATCTTTGTTTGTACATTAAGCTTTAAACATGTAGTGATAGCTTCAAATCTTCAACCAGTTTTTTCAATAATCCTAACCTGAGTAAGTTTGTCCAGTTCCCCAAGCCAGGCTCCAAACATTTTATCCAGGTCCTGATCTTCCTTGTCACTGTCTTCTTCAGCACCATGGTCAATTTCTTCATCTGATAATTGCTCCATCTGAAATACAGGCATCTGTGTTGAATGAGCAGTTACAACTTTATCTTAAAAATTATTCAGAACAAGGTATGATACATGATGTGATTCTCTGAAATCAAATCTTCAAAACTAGACTATAACATAAAAAAATAGAAATTATTAACAAAGACAATCTTGACAAACAGAATGAGGAAGGAAGCCTCAGTTCAAGGAACAGATGAGCCTAGGAGTTCAGTTCCCTACAGAAGGGAAACTATCAAATATGACTAGATTCACAAACAACAATTTTCAAAATACACACTAGCAGAAAGTACAGCTGTAGTGTCAATCTCTGTGCTAAATGGCTCTGTAATACTCCATATATAGTTTCAAAGACTTCACACAGAATTCCACAAATATTAGGCTAGATATCCTACAGAATACGTTAAAGTTCCACTTAAGTTCCCTGATCTGTCACATGAGGACAACTATGCTCTGAACATACTGAACCTCAAATCATGCACCGACATGAAAAGTTACTGAAGCTATAATAAAGTCCAAAGGTAAACAAAGCTCTGCAAAATCCTAGCCTTCAGGGACCTCCCCTCACCATTTCCTGCTTCCTCACTCCTTCAGTTTTACAGACTCAACTGTCTTACTCATTGGAACATGCACACTTGCTCCAACCTCCAGTCTTTGCAATGTCAGCTCTCCTACCTGGAACTCTTTCCTCCAGATATGTGCAGGTTTGTGCCCTTGCTTCATTCAAGTGAGCATCCCATCAAAATAGCACTCCGTCCTTATTACATTCTGTCCCCTGTAGGGTTTTAGTTTTCTTCATAAAACTGTTTTGTTTTTTAAGAGGGAGTGTAGAGTTTCTCTATGTAGTACTAGCCATCCTAGAATTCTAGGTAGACCAGCCTGGAATTGAACTCACAGAGGTCCCCCTGCCTCTGCTTCTGAGCACTAGGATTAAAGGTATGCACAATCATACTCGCCTTCTTCGTAGTACTTCATTTATTTATTTATTACAACCCAACTGCTGTTTCCCCCGAGTTCCTCCCTCTTCACTTCCCCTTGATGCCCCATCCACTCCTTCTGTTTCTTTTCAGAGAAAGGCAGACCTCCCATGGATATCAACCAAACATGCCATACCAAGTTGAAACCCAGACAAGGCAACAACCCGCTATAAGAATAAGAATCCCAAAAGCTGGCACAGGAATCAGAGATAACCCCTATGCCTACTGTTAGAGGAGTCCCACAAGACCAAGCTACACAACTGTAATAGCTATACATAGTGCCTAGGTCAGTCCTATGCAGGCTCCCTGGTTATTAGTTCAGTCAGGTTAGTTGATTCTGTGGGTTTTCTCGTGTGTCTTCACAGTACTCTTAACCACATTTATCCTTTCTCTTCTCCACTGGAAGGAAAGATCCCTAAGAGTAAGGGTTTATTTCCTTCTGTATTTAAATACTTTGAGTGGTTTGGGTCACTGTCATTAAGTATCTGTTTAATAAATAAGTATTTAAAACACACACACAGTTTTTTAAAGGTCCCTAAGAACTTAAGACCAAAGACCACAAAATAAATATTATTATACAAATAATAAAGAATCAAAATAAACCCTGAGTACTAGTCCTTCAAAACCAGGTAGGTAGTTCATAAAGAACTCCTTATTTGAGGCTGGATAAATGGCTCAGGAGTTAAAACCCAGATTCCATAGCCAGCCGCTCACAGCTGCTTGTAACTCCAATTCCAAGGAATCTGATGCCCTCTTCTGGTTTCCACATGTACTGCATATACACAGTCCACAAGCATAAGCTCAGGTACATACTAATAACATAAATAAGTGAGTAACTTCTATCCTCTTGCCTCTGCTTCCTAAGTGTTGGGATTTACAAGTGTGCACATTAGACTATATGGGGTGGAGGAGATGGAATCAATGATTTTATGCATCATAGGCAAGCACTATACCAATCAAACAACATTCCCAGCTAACATTACACTAATTATTTAAGACTTTATTCAATTGTAAATGAAGAAAATTGGGCCAAGAAAAATCAAGTAACTTTCCCAAGCTTAGTAACAGTAAATAAAAGTGCAAAAATCTGTATGACTTATTTTCTATATTCATAATTATTGATTATTGTAGGTTGTTTTTACTGGCCACCATGTATACAGGGAAGTTTGACAAGAGTAAAACAATTTATATACCACATTTTAATTCATTTTTTTAAATAGCATTGACTGGGTAGCTGTCAAATGCAAGGCACTATGCCGAGACCAGTGACACAAGCTCAGCTAAAAATCCATTCCTAGGGATCCCTATTGTACTGGCACGAGGAATGCAAAGTCAGAGGACAACTTTGAGTCCCAAAGACCAAACTCAGGTGGTCCAGTTTAGTGGCAGGTACCCCGCAGTCACATTTCACTGTATTTTAATAAATAAAGCTTGCCTGAAGATCAGAATGTAAAATAGCACACTAGTAATGATGGGGGAGAGTCTTCCGTTTTGTGTTAATTTCATTGGTTAAATAAAGAAACTGCTTTGGCTCTTTAATAGAACAGAAAATTAGGCAGGCCGAGTAAACAGAACAGAATACTGGGAGAAAGAAGCTGAGTTAGGAAGTCACCATGATTCTCCCACTCCAGACAAACGCAGGTTAAGATCTTCCCTGGTAAGCCACCTCGTGGGCTACACAGATGTTTAGAAATGGGTTAGATCAATATGTAAGAGCTAGTCAATAAGAGGCTAGAACTAATGGGCCAAGCAGTGTTTAAATGAATACAGTTTCCGTGTAATTATTTTGGGTAAAGCTAGCTGGGAGCTGGCCGGGAGGGAAGCAGCCCCGCCGCTCTTATTTCAACAACTAGTCAGGCATATAGGCCAGGGAGTGGTCGCACATACCTTTAATCGCAGTAGCCACACCGGTTAACCCCAGCACTAGAGAGGAATGTAAGGCAGAATCAGACAGGGACTCGCTCTCTTTCAGTCTGAAGATTTCATAGAGGTAAGAGCTCTCTAGTGACTTGGCTGCTTTGCTTTTCTGATTTTCAGGTTGAACCCCAATATCTGTCTCTGGGATTTTAGTATTTGTGCTGCACACCCTTTCATCTTGCTGGCCCCATCAAGGATTGAAAAAGGAAGGAAGGGAGGGAGGGAGGAAGGGAGGGAGGGAAGGACAAACGAAGAAAGAGGGGAAAAAGGAAGAAGAAAAAAAAGAGAAGCAAAGAAAGAATCAAAGCAAAGTAGACTAGCAATGTATCATTGTTATATACCAGGCAGTAAATAACTGTGCTAAATTATTAAAGGTCAAAAGTTATAGTATATAGTAAACTCAACTGCACTCAGTCTATAGCCAGAAAACTTTGTGGAACTATTAAGAAGCTCCTCTGTACCGCACACACTGTGTGTGTGTGTGTGTGTATGTGTGTGTGTGTATGGAATGCGTATGGCTGCCACCCTCACAATATCATAGATGACATCACTAGTGATGCAGCACAATGCCTAGCTAGTTAAAAACAAGAAAAAATAGGACTGAAGCGTGGCCCAGCTATTAAAGGCTAGGCTCACAACCAAAAATAAAAGAACAAGAAAAAAAATGTTTCAATAAAATAATCAGCTGAGCAAACAAACAACAGCAATTCCCCACCAATCCCAGAAAACAGTTGAGTGAGGTTACCCATACAATATTCTTCTGGGTCTAGAATGTTCAATGTGCAAAACTTGTATGAGAAGCTTCTACTTCATTTAATATTTATGGCATATTTTCTATGTGCCAGATACCATAAAACAGATGGACACAATGATGTTTAATTTCGTTATATCTACCTAGTAGGGGGGAAAACCAACAATAATAAAAAGTGCTATCTATAAGGCTATGTATGTTGAGTAAGATCTTAACTTAGTTTGAGAAGGCAAGAGGAAAGAGAGGGCACTTCAGTGAGACAGAAGACAACGTACAAGGAAGAGATGGATAAGGATGTTTTAGGCAAAAGAATTACTATGTATAAGAGTAGAAAGGCATGAGAAAAAAAGACATGTGAATTCTAAGTGGCTTGGTATTCTTGTGGTGCAGTATAAACTCATGGAGGAAACGGAGGCTGGAGATGAGGAAATGCAAAACAATACACTATATGAAAGAGTTAGATGCTTATCCTGTAGTGCAATGTTTTCCTTGCTGTGGTCTGTTCACGGTACACATCAAAAGTACCTGGGAGTTGTTTAAATGTCAGGGTTGTTTGTTTTGAGTAGGAGCTGGGAACTGAATTCAGCTTCTCTGGAGGAGCAGCAAGTGTTCTAAAGAACCAGCCATCTTTCCAGTTCACTAAGAGACAGAATATAAATGACCTAACTTATGTCAAGGAGGTAGGACATTTTGAAGAAACTCCTCCACGTATTATGTTCTCTAAAGTTTGTCAACTACAGTATAAATGACTGTGTTATCACAGCTACTAGGAAGACTTTAGAACAAGTGATGCAGTCTTATGCAATTGCAGTTAGCTTAAAGGCTGAACAAACTAGAATACTATTCTAGTATGCTATAAAAAATAAGGGATCATAAGGATAAAAAAGTTACTGATAACCACTTACTTCTCTTCTATTACAACAGAATTGTTTTTTAATCACTTATTTAGACAATTTTAGCTCTTTGTTTCAAGTTACTTTTCATCAGCTTTCTCACAAAAATAGTTTGTTGAAATATTTCCTAAACTGTTCTAATATTTTAAGTAATTCTAAAGCAAACTTCAGTATATAGTATGTGAAGACTTTCAGGATCAAGGAATGCCTCCAACTATGCAAGATACAGCTGCAATAACACTCCAAGGTATTTACCCAAAAAAGACTTCAAATCATTGTCAGAGATACTTGCACGTCAATGTTTATTGCAGCACTGTTCAGAATAGTTAAGTCTGCAGCCAATCAAGGTGCATTGATGTGAGAGTGTCACATATCAATCTGTTGCTTTCATTGGTTAATTAAGAAAGAAACTGCTTGGCCTGATAGGTTAGAACATAGGTGGGTGGAGTAAACAGAACAGAA